CCAGCGGCGGCATCGGCCTGGGCGGTGCCACTCCAGTCGAAGCCGCTCGCACCGAGACCTCCGGCCTTGCTAGGCTTCTGGATCTGGACATCTTCATCATCATCCTCAGATCCCTCCTCCTCTTCTTCTTCCTCCTCGCTATCATCATCAACCTCAACACCTCCCATGGACTCATCGTCGTCATCCTCTTCTTCGCTGTCGTCCTCGCCGAGTTCGACACCACCAAGACCATCAATGCTCATGCTGTCCTCATCCTCGCTGTCGTCTTCCTCTTCATCCTGGAAGTGGGAAGCCTTGAGTGAGAACGAGATCTTCTTCGTATCAAGGTCGATCTTAATGACCTTAGCCTTAACAACATCGCCTTCGTCGTAGAGTTTGCGAGCATCTTCAACGCGCTTCTCAGCCATCTCACTGCGGTGGCAAAGACCACTGATGTTTGAGGACCCGTCAATGACAACGAAAGCACCGAACTCCTCGACCTTGCGGACCTTTCCGGTGACAATCTGACCAACCTTAAGATCCTTAAGGGTGATGGGAGCCTTGAAGTTGGGGTCCAGAACAGACTCCTTCAAGCTCAGCTGCAGCTTGCCTTGCTCGGCATCAACAGATGTAACCTTACCCTTGACAAGCTGATCTGGCTGGAAGGAGTCCTTCCATTCCTTGAGATACGAGTCGGAAAGATCAGACACGCGGACGTAAGCAGTGATATCATTGCTGACTGCCACAAAGAGACCGGAATCGGTGACTCGTCGGACGAAGCCACGAATGATGTCGTTGGGCTTGACATCCTTCAGCGAAGAGATCTCACGGTCCTGCACAGGCAGAGAGGAGCTCATGACCTTGGAGGGGCGCAGCGACAAGGCAATCTTCTTGTTCGATTTGTCAACGGCAATAACGCATGCTCGGAGAACCTCGTTCTTGCTGTGTATGGTAGGGTTGGCCTTGGAGTAGTCATCTGCGAGGTCGACCAGGTTGACCGCGCCAACGAGCGACTCGCCGAGCTGCATAATGAGTTGGCGCTCGGTGACCTTGGTAACGCGACCAGGCAAGATCATGCCAACGGAGATATCTCCAAATGCCAGCTTGTCATAACCTTGCTTGGCGGAGAGGTTGAGGTGGCCCTTCTCGGCGTTAACAGCCGTGACCTGGACCTTCAAAGCAGAGCCGATGGGGAAGTTCTTCTCCATATCAGTCAGCAGGGACAGGTCGTCTGATGCATCCATAAAGCGGAGTCTGCCGCGCACGTTGGGAGACAAGTTGACCCAGAGGCAGTCGTCAGCAACATTGTTGACGAAGCCTACCCAAGAGGAGCCGACCTGAACCTGCTCCATGTTAAGAGGGGCAGGGTTGGCGGCCTTGACGTAGCTTGGCTTGAGAGAGAGCTCGAATACAGGGTACTTTCCAGTGCGGTGGCTGATGGGGAGGAACTTGTGGTTACGGGCATCGTGGACGCCAAGGATTCTGGCGGAGAGAGTCTGCTTAGCCTTGAAGAATCGCAAGGGTTGCTTGCGATCTTTGATATCTTTCCAGTCGTCGAATATCTCGGACACATCAATGCGACCCTGAATGTTATCCGCGAGCTGGACATTGACCTGGGTTGCCTTGATAGAGACGACCTTGCACTCAACAATTCTGCCGAAGGTGAAGTCGGACATGCTCTTGATGCCGTCATCAACGGGGTTGGCAACGGTCTCGTCAGTCTGCTTGGCAGCTTTCATGGGAGCGGCCTGTTTAGCCTGAACGGGCTTCATGCTCAGAATGAAGCGCTTGAATTCCTGGTCCACAGACTGCACATTGAGAACAATCGTTTGCGCCTTTGACAACCCGTAGTGGGGCTGCTCGAGGTTGGCATCTTCGATAAGACGCTTGGGGAGCAATCCAGTGAGGCCACCGAGGAACTCAACGAAGACACCGTCGGGTGTGATGTTGCGGACGAATCCTGTGATAAGGGAGCCCTCTTGGACTTCTTCGAACTGGCCCGGAATGTTCTTCTGCTTGGCGGCCTTCTTCAAGCTGGCCCTGCTGGAAACCTTGATCAGACGGTGGGCACGCTGAATGTTGAGGACCAAGAGGTCGTTCAGCTTCTGGCCTACGCGAAGCTTAGAGAGCATCGAATTTTGCTTAGACGGGGGGCCGTCGATGAGGTGCTCAGAGTCGAGACGAGCGACGAGGCCTGACTCATCAAGCTTAAGAAGTACATCATCATTGGATTTCTCGAAGACAATTCCAGTAACAAGGTGGCCGGGATGAAGATTTTCAAAGGCCTCACGATACTTCTCGGTAAATGTCGAGGGGTCCTTGCACGAGACAGCAAGTCTTCCAAGGGATGCATCCACGCTCAAAGCATGAACGTTGACGACCTGGCCGAGTCTGAAGTGCTGGGCCGGATCCTGGATGTAGGCTTCACTCATCTCGGAGACAGGGAGGAAACCACGGACCTCGCCGTAGAACTGTACAACAGCACCATGGGTCTGAAGGTTGACAATGGTACCAGGAGACTGAGCCGAAGGAGTGATATCTTTGTAGTCCTTCCAGATAGTCGACTCGCTGTTGAGCAAACTCTTCTTCAGAGTCAAACGAATTTGGCGTTTTTCGAGGTTAACAGACAGGATTCTCAGCGAAAGCTTCTGGCCTTCGCGGAACTTCTTTTCTGGGAACTGAAGCATAGTATCCGCAAAGTGCATGGAGGGAACAAGACCAGTGATTCCATCGGCCAGGTTGACAATCAATCCATTCATACCATCAGCGCCGATCAGAATCTTCTCAACCTTTCCTTTGACAATAGCACCCACATTCACATCCTCGACACGGAGGAAGGGCTGCTCGATAACGCTCTTCTCAAACGAGAGAATGTAGAGGTTATCAATCGAGTTGTACCCAATGACTCTTGCCTCGTGGACTGCATCCAACTGGAAAGCTCCAGAACTTTCATCAATTGTTTCGACCTTGCCATCAGAGAGTCTCGACATGTGAACGAAGCCCATGTGTTTTGTCTCTCCAATTCGAGCATACACACCCAGACCGTGATCAACCTTCACGACCTTTACCTCGGGGATGATTGCGGAAATAGCAGGCGCGTCATCAGAAGAGCCGGGACCGCGAGCATCGGAAGAGAGCTTGAGGACGTGGTCGAGCAAAGAAAAGCTGACCTTGAGCGGCTCAGCAGCCGGGAACGTTGAAATAATACGGCCCTTGATCTTCGCACCAATCTTGTATTTCTTTTCCAGATCAATCTTGCCGTTGATGCTAGACTGGACCAGGTCAACGGTTGCGTCGAGCATTCCCATAATCTTTCCGATCATTCCATTCGCTGTGACTTCCGTGAGAAGAATTTCTGCGGCGGTACCGGGGAGGAAAGTGTTGATGGTAGGGGCCGAGTTGAGGTAGTTGGACTTCTTGATCGAGGCGGATGTTTGGAAGTTGGAGGACAGCTTGATGACATTGCCACTGGGGTTCTGGCCAGTGATCATGCAAAGGAAAACGGAGCCTTCCTTGATGCTAGAGTAATCCACACTGGGGTCGGTCTCCTTGGAGGACATGAAGCCCTTCAGTTCTGAGCCTTCAATGCCAAGATCCATGACCACACCGTGATCTTCCACACTGACAACGGACGCTTGGACAGCCGAGTTCACAACAAGATCGGACTTCGAGAAGCCAGTGTTTGTTTGTCTAGGGTCGACCGAAAGCTCAATTCTCCTCTTGCTCTTTGCCTTTGGATCATCGGGGTTGCTGCCAGTAGACACAACGAAGGCCCGCAGGTATTGACCCAAATAGAAATGATCTTTCAAGTCGAAGGACTCGTCGTCGGAGCTGTCCTCGGCATCGTCATCTTCACCTTCGTCATTCAACATCTTCTCAAGTCTGTCTTCAAGGCCCTTTGAAACGGATGTGAGGGGGACGTAGCCGGTAAGGTTGTTGGGCAGCGATAGGCCGATGTCGTGGGCGTTGATACTCGAGACCTGACCCAGGATCATGGCTCCTGGTACAATGCGCTGCAATTGTTAGAGTGGTGCGATATGAAAACTTTTTCTAGAACATACCTTGAAGCTAAGACCCTCGATGCGAACATCTTGCTTGTCATCAGATGTCTTGTCCGCGGACTTCTTGCTCTTTGACTTCTTCTTGCGCGACTTCTTGGTAGCCGTGGTGGTTTCTTCGTCATCCATTTCAACATCGTTGTCGCTTTCCTCGGCGAATTCATTGGAAGGCGTCTTCTGGGAGGGTTTCTTGTTTCCAGATTCTTTCTGCTCGAACAAGACATCTTTGTTGGCCTGAATCTGAATTTGCTTGCGCTCCAATGGTGTCAGAACACTTGCGCCACCACGAGGGAATGAGGGCTCGTCATCGCGCAGCACAGAAAGTTCTGAAGCTTTCCCAGCGGTGGATGTAGTGGCATCGGTTGACTTCTTGTGGTCTTTCTTGGTCTCCTCCGCTCCAACTTTAGCACGTTTTTGGGGCTGGCGGGCAGTATTTTCTTCAGGGGCATTCCCCTTGCGCTTGATTGGTGCCATTCTTAAACTGGCAAAACCGAATCGTGCAGTTGCAGATTGCGGTCTAATTCCTCAAGAGAAAAGATAAAAAAATTCCGCGGACACGGCAGAACCTTCTAAGCGGTGTAGAGACATGGGGTCATGAGTCAGCAAATTGCTGCCTGAATTGCAAGGACAAATACCCTAAACTGCCAAGATCTCTACCTACATAGTACATTGACTTTCCTTATTCAACAAGGGGGTGTATGGCACCATTATAGCCATGATGGTGAGGTCTTTGTAGATAACCTAGCGTCAATTTATCGGAGTAGCAATATAACATGCATATTATGCCATAGAGCTATCCATGCGCTTGATATCGAGGTACCTACGATATATAACTATTCCAAGGTTGCAAATAAAAAGGCCCCGAAAGATGTACAAATGAGTTAGTATACATACAATTTAAGAATTATAGCAAGTTTCTAAACGTAATGTATATAGAACTTCAAGATACTTTGTCTAGTCGGCCTAAGCAACCTCTTTACTCTCTGAGAATCCTGTGATGCCCGCCTCACCACCGACCGAATTTCCATTCTTGTGGAATTCCCGAAGAGGCGTTTTCTTCCGGAACAACCGGTCAATTTCTTCGAATGATCTTCCTTGACATTCAGGCACACAGAAATAAACAAAAGCGATCGAGGTGATCGAAAGACTTCCATAAATAAAGCCAACCTTCGACTGAAGATTTGCAGAACCAGCATCCATGAGATATGGTAGACTAAACGAAACTGCGAAGCTGAACGTCAAATGTTAACACTCCTGTCTCACATAATGGTTGAAAAGCAATGTCAACTTACAACGTAAGAACATTTGCAACAGACGCAATCCTCTGTGAGTTGTCTCGCAAGCGTAGAGTTGGTATCTCGGTAGTCACGACGTATGTTAACGCAGCCCATCCTATATTGAAGCCCACTGTAAACAAGGAAAGCATTGCAACAATGGCTGACTTCTGAGGATAAGATGGAGTATGTACTCCGAGTCCTCCCATGATAAGAAGTGCTGTTGCTTGGATTACCGCACCGATCAGAAGCAAGGGCCTGCCAACGTCAGTCATGGGCCCCTGTTTGGGGATGCGAGCTCACCTTCTTCCAACTCTATCGTTGAGGTATAGACATAGTAAAACTATGACGAGTCCGATAAAACCGTTGATGACGTTCATGTTGAAACTGTTTACAGTTTGTAGAGATTTCACATATAGAGTGCCATATTGCGATGCGAATCCTTGCCCCGTAGCCTGTTGGAAAAAGTTGAGTCCAACAACAATTGCTGTTCGCCTTCGGTTGGATTTCGAGAATAGTTCCTTGAAATGACCTTGCTCTGGCTCACTTTGCAACCCTTTTTGGATTGATGCGAATTCATCTTCAATTTCATCCGAAGTAAACGCTCGTTCTCGTAGTATCTGTAAGTTGATTCGCGCCTCTTCCATGCGTCCTTGGATGAGAAGCCAGCGAGGGGACTGCTTATGCTTAGCTTGTTGGGGGAAAAAAAAAAAGGAAACTTCAGAAGTTCTCACCTCTGGAATAAACCATATGAGGGATGCTATGATGGTCGGAATGACGAAGAAAAGCCCTAGAGGTATCCTCCACGAACGGTCATCGTGTATCTTGCTAGTTCCATTGCACACCCAGCCAATGACCATCCCTCCGAACTGAAAGTTTCTGTCAGTATAACCTACATATTTGGTCTCTACGAAATATTGGGACTTACCACAATGGTCAATTGGTATGTACCCACCATGAAGCCACGAATTTGGGTTGGAGCGATCTCGGACTGGAAGACTGGAACAACAGAGAGTTCCATGCCAATATATATGTCTGGCTGTGTTAGAAGTAATTTGATAGGAGAGATAGGAGAAGCCAGCAGACGCACAGTTCAAGATTCTGGCGGCTAATATTTGATCGCTGGATTGAGAGGTGGTGGTAATTGTGGCGGTAGCTAGAGCATAGATGCTCATGACAAACATACACCATCGGCGACCGAATCGAGCACTTATACAGCTGCCAATGATAACACCTGAAGGATGGTTAGAAATGAAGGTGCTCATAATTCCTCACTACGTACCACAGGCGAAGGTCAAATACGGGAGTCCGTTGAAGTATGACTTCCACTGAGTGTCAAGGGCCCAGGTTTTCGCTTTTGCATCATAGACACCAAATCTCTTCTCGAAGGCATCCATAGCCTGTGTTTGGGCAAAGCCTTGGTTATCGAAAGCATAGTTAAAGCTGGAGAGAGCGATAAGGCTACATGACAATGCTAGCCGTTTGTTGAAGTATTTTCGCACATCGTGGTGGCCGAGCATTGTGACGTGGATATCTTTATTTCCCAATTTAACATGGTAATACCATTATATTTCTATGCTTGTTATATAAAATAAGTTCCATGATAGTTGAGGTAGATTGTCCTAGCCGGCACCGGCTATTTATTAGCCGCCAACTAGAGAGAGATACTGGAGAGAGACAGCATTATCTAACTATAACCTAAAAGCACGCAATGTCAAAGGTTATACATAGAAAGGTCTCTTACACAGAGTGTGCTTTTTTTTACCATCTTCTTGTACACCTGAAAATACCTCTAAAAAGACATGGCAAGGCCGCATAAGCGGCCGACTATTCTTGTTCGCCATCAAAGAGAAATTTGGACATTTGAGTCCATTAGACAAACCAGAGGCAGATTCGAATAAACATTAACTAGGAGCTATCAGGAAATATATTGAATGTATCCAGCCTTTGGTGATTGGTCAAAGACCTCGGTTCAACTCCGGAGGACAAGAGGTCGCAATCCAAATGGCGGAGCACGCAATTATATATTCATCCCAACGGCCCGGCCTGGGAATTCAAAATTTGCCGTTGCCGGTGTTTGATAGCCGCTTGCTCTTGGAGAGAGCACACAACTCTTCCGGACTCTTGGAAATGGACTCGACATCCCCGGCAGTGGCTCCCAGCACGGAGGCCCACTTAACGCAAAGTGGAACAAAACGTCTTCGTACCAGGCAAGCTTGTAGGCCGTGCCATCTGCTTAAGGCGAAATGTTCCGGGTCATTGCCTTCCTGTCAGCGATGTAGCCAAAAGGAGATACCATGCGAATATGCATCGTCAAAGCCGGGTTCCGGGACACGAAAAAGGCGAAGAACCGTCGCATCAAGGGAGCCTCAGCAAAACCACCCACTGTCATCGTCGTTGGTATCTCCCAAACGGACAGTGAGTACAGGATATCCCCTTCAGGCTTTACCATCGCAAAGGACAAGGATCGAGGACGTTATTTCACATGGAGAAACCCTTAGCGATGGGGTGAATTATGACTCGAGCAAGGAACTTGGAGTGAAGAAGAGTGTAATTAGACTCTACATCGACGCCTACTTTGAACACATCGCACCGCTTTGTGAGAATGGCTTTATTCACCGCGCTATTTTCCTACAAGCCTGGAACTCTGGAACTGTCGACCCAGCGCTATTGAAGGCAGTTTGTAGTGCATCGGCGGCCTTTATGTCAACAGATCCCGTCACAGCTGAACAAGGAGAAAGGTGGCGTACTGAAGCAGAGGCGCATATTTGGTTAAATATCGGACGACCATCTCTGGTCGTACTTCAAGTTCTCGTGGTGGTAATTTCCCAAAATTGTGCATTATCTCGTTTTCTCGCTTTGCAGCCGCTGCTAGGAATAGCTGCGAAGATGGCATACATTCTCCGTCTGAATCATGAAAACGTTCAGCTATCCACCACAGCTCGCGAAATTCGTCGGCGTATTATGTGGTCAATATTCATTTTGGACAAACGATATGCCGCTGGACAGTCGGACCTGATATCGTGTCCCAAGGAGCAAATGCACATACAGCTACCGTCGAACGAGAGAGACTTCGAGCTCGCAATTTCTGGCCGAACAGGTACTCTTATACCGACGCATATTGATGAAGGTGACTCCACCAGTATGGGCACCAGAGCATACTTTTGCCAACTCTCAAATACTCGGCATGAGATTCTTCAGTGAGAGATTCCACTGCATGAATTACTTACCAATGCTGACTGATGTCTAGATACACCAGAAGAGTAATTTCAGAAGGTTCAAAGGCACACGACTCTCGTAGTGAGCTTCTTCAACTGGAATCTGACTTGCAAAAGCTGAAACGCTCGCAGCCTGAATCAATGGCCTTTAGCGAGCGTAATCTCAACCTACGAGCTTACTCTCCACATTTGAAGCGATACGTTATGTTACATACGATGTGGCACCAATGTCACTGTGACTTGTACAGATTTATGCTACCTGGAATTCGGGAGTCTCTGCCCGATGAAGTTCTCAGTACGACGCTACCTGAGTATGCACTTTATTGTCAAATACAAGCAGTTGAGCATGCAAAGGCACTGGTCGATATTCTTACAACGGTTCAGAAGGTCTGCGATCAAACCCCGCAAGATCCTGGGATCAGCATTTGCGTACTTCAATGCACACGGATTTTAACACGAGCTTTTGACATTGGGCTTCTTGGAAGTCATTCAACTGCTATTGAGACACTTTACCAGCTCAAATCTGTCGCGAAGATACTCTTGCCTATTACCTCAATCCATCAGTCCGCTGACCAACTGGTGAGTTATACACTTTATGTCTCGACAGGAACAGCCTATCAGCATCTTTGTATCCTCAAGCATAATACTCATTCTGGATTATTATACAGTATAAAGAGACCGAAAGGCTCATAAGCATCGCGATTGCTGGAGGTTCCTACCCAGACTCAATGACAAAAGTCTCACAGAAAGAGCACATCCGTGACAACAACATACTCGATATTTTAGCTCGCATTCGTCGGTGTGATATGGAGCGAGGAGAGGAAGTCCTTCAGCATTACCCAGCAAGCCCCCCTGTCACCACTCCGACCGGATCAGAAGTACTATCGGACAGAGAAACAGGTGCTGCCAACGAAAGCACTACTGAGAAACCATCGCGAGAAACTTTAGGGGAATCCCTGTGGTATACGGGACTCGAATTAGAGCACATGTTTGGCTCACTGGATACTTTATTCGATGGATTTGGGGGCCATCTATGAATTTCGATCCTCAAGATCTTGAACAATTGTACGGGAATCAATCATGACATTTGATGCGATTGGATTATAGTAAGAATGTGTAATGGCCTGCAATGAGCTGAGTATTAGCTCATTGCACTCCTTCGATGCCAAGTGATCCAAATGATGTTAGATGTTCCCGTGCCACTCAGATTGTTTCAGTCCTCTTCCTATATTGTTCCTCTGGGCTCTCAAGATTCACCGGAGGAAATCTAGGATCCTTTTGAAATGGGAGAAAGTCCGAGGTTTGCATCATCCAGCGAAACATCTCTTCCTGCATCTCTCGAACAATATGGTCAAATTGAGGATCTGCAGCGACGTTGTGAAGCTCAGCGATATCAGTCTTCCTGTTGTACAATTCGGCTGGTTCGTACAACCGGTACACATACGTCCAGTCTGCACTTCTCATGGAAACAGCTTTTCCAACGACCTCGGTATCTTCGTGTTGCAAAATAGACTTGATATCATATGGATAGGGTGCTTGCTCGAGGAGCGGCTCTTCCGATTTCAGGAAGCCCCCTTCGGTGTATGCGTAGAGCTTTGGGTGCTTCTGATTTCCAAGTATCGCCGGCAGGAGTGAAACGCCGTTGTGTGGAAAGCTCTCAGGGACCTTGCACAGCTCGAGAACCGTTGGGAGCAGATCGACCATCTCGCAAATGTCATCGTTGGTTTTATCGACAGGTAAACCGGCACCGCCTATGATGAGGGGTTCACGAGCAAGGACTTCAGATACGCCGCTAGGCCACTTCTCAATCATACCATGGTCCCCAAGGTACTCCCCGTGGTCGGTGTAGAATGCGATGACAGTGTTTGATGCCAAACCCGTTCTTTCCAATGCAGTCATGACCTGCCCGAATTGTGTATCGAGACGAGAGATCATCCCATAGTATGTCGCTGTAATTTCACTCCAGATTTCATCGGTTGCCCGTTCTGTGCCGTAGCGCTTGCGATTCTCCTGGAAATATCTCGGTTCGTAACCTGTTTTCTGCTCTGGCTTGGTTGGCAGTGGCATCTTCTTACGGTCGTACATGGAGAAGTACGGTTCCTCAACTTGGAATGGACAATGGGGGAAGATCAGCGGTAGATAAAGAACCCATGGGCCCTTAGGAGGATTTTCTAGCCACTTTATCGCAGATCGCACAGCAGCTTCATCATAGTCAACTGTTTTGTCCTGACTGCGGAGGCCCTTGTAGAACAAGCGGTCCCAGATATCTTCTGACACATCCGGTTCTGCGCCTCCCTTTCCAAACTTCGGCATCCACTCCGGCGGGACAAGAAAGCCGTACTCAGTTACACTCAACTCTGTGACCGTGGGTGCAAATGTATCGCCCCTAGGGGCCAAACATGCAACGTGGTATCCGCTTTCCTTCAGTGCACGAAACATGTTAGGTTCCCAGGGCTTGATGAGATTTTCCAAGCTTCGATGACCTGATACATGTGGATATTGCCCTGTGTAGAGCGAACATCGGCTTTGTGAACACACGGTGGCTTGCAAATAGCAATTCGTGAATTTGGTGCCCCGTGCGGCGAAGGCGTCAATATTGGGTGTGCGAACATGGGGGTTTCCGAAACAGCCAACAGAGTCATAACGAAGCTGATCTGGCATGAATATCACCAGATTCGGGCGAGATTCTGCCGTTTGACTTGGTGGGTTGTCAAGGGTGGGGAGCCTAACAGGTGCCATATTGCTTGATTTCGTTGCACGAGAGTCTCGAACGTTAAAGCATCAAAATTGGAAATTTGCTTCATACTTGGAGATGTACATTTTCTTTTCTACTGGCAGCCGGTGGGTTAGTAGCCGGCAACGGCCCGTGAGGCAGCCGAACTGATATCAGCCGGTGGGCCTAACTTGTGCCGCGACAGGATGTAAACCAAAGTGCGAGGAAACAAGAAAATCCTCAGCAAGACTGAAAAATCTGTGTTATTGTTATTGTTGGCGTTGTATTTCTTACAATACACTGCCCCTTGAATAAAACCAAGCTTTTGTTTCATCAATGCCCAATTTAGTCACAAGAAGCATCTTCCCAAACAAGTCCACATCATCCGGCTTCGCGTCCTGAAGCAGTCCAGTAAAATCTGCATTATAGACAATAAAGTGTTGGTTTTCCGTCCAAGCTACTGCAAAATCGAAGGCACTTTGTGCATTCCATAAATGCGCAGACTGATACCATGCATGCTCGAGTCCAAGCTTTCCATCACAGGCGGAGAGTGGCTTGCCTTGTAGGAAGTGATGGATCTTCACAAAGTAGAACACCATCAGCACAGTGCGCCGCGCTGATTCTTGGAATACCCATGATTCCCAAAAGCTCATTATCGGGTCCATGGAGATAGGGAGTAGTTCGCAGGGCTCTGAGGGGTGTGGTATATAAATGCAGCTGAAAAGAGATAGTACTGATGCCTCGAGGAGAGCCAATAAGGATTCAGAGGATGGTTGTGTGCGGATGCCAACGTCAAATAAACGCATTACCAAGTATAAAATGAGCGCGTGGATTCGAGCAAGCAGTTCCAGTGGCGTGGGAGGTGGTGGTGCAGAGAGGAGGTCGTTTACACGAGAATCGAATATGGACATCAAAACCAGTGAATTTATATCATTTTTGCTCATGTAGAGGGAACAACAAGCGAATGCATCTATGATAAGGTTAGTATTGCAATTTGTTGTTAAATGAAAAAAAAAGTTCGATGTGGGTAAACCGACCTTGCATGTCCTTTGGCATACCACTTTTATAAAGCTGACGATGACACCATGGAGTTTGATTCTCGGTAACTACCATTTTGGGGATGTTCTTGAGCACATCCACCGCGAATTGTAGTCGATTGGCTAATACATCTGAGAGCTGCTTCGGGGGATTCGTTCTTGTTATAGCGGGATCGAAGTTCTGCGACAAGGAAAGGCCCTCGAAGATATCCACCCGATCTTCTGGGGGAATTATATTGATGTAACGGAAGGGCGAGTCGAGCATAATAGGATGAAGTGGGCCCATATTAACCAGGGTCATCAATTCAGAGTCATGATTGTATTGGATAGAAGCAGTGTCAATCATCTCATCATAATTCATAGATACCGGGATATCGGCAGTAACATCGGCGCAGGTTTGAGGCAGCCTGCCTGGGTAAAAGCACGGTATACTTTTGTGGATACATCTTGAGCAGGCCGGAAATGATTGGTCGCAGCGCCGTTTGGCTGATTTGCATGATTCACATGACTTCCGCCGCGAAGTTCCTGTGCTTTGACCCGCATGAAGCATCTTCACCTCTTTGAGACTTCTACTCGAAGGAAACGTTGAGGAAGAGAAACCTTGGAGTTTCAGGCTTGTGGGCCTGAAGCGGAGTTCCGCCCGCTAGTGGAATTGAGGCTTTGATTCACCAATCAGAAGCCGCTTCGGGATCGGGACAGTGGCGGACCGAGTGGAGTTCCGCCATTGTACAATGGATGTTCCAAGGTTTGTATAGAAGTTGTCGAGTGTCAACGTGGATATATCGGGGTATATAAAGACGTAGATTTCACACAGATTCAATATAGAAATTACAAGCATAAAGCCTCATACTTAACTTCCCAAATTTCAAATGTCCTCTCCGACCGTCTTCGTCTGCGGCGCCACTGGTACCCAGGGCGGCGCTTTGATCGACCATCTGCTCAAGGCCGATGTCAAAATACATGCCGTTACGCGCACTCCCGACTCGGCTGCTGCCCAACTTCTTAAATCGATCGGCGTTCTTATCACGGAGGGCGATTTTGACGATGATTCCATCAGAAAGCCCATGGCCAATTGCACAAGCCTTTTCCTGAACTTGATGCCATCGTTGACAGATTTGAACGCAAGTCTCGAACAAGCATGCCGACTTCTCAAAATTGCCAAGGAAGCTGGCATCAAGCAAGTCATCTATACCAGCGGATTGTCTGCCAATGATCCCCAACGCCTCAAATTATGGGATCCGACCAGCATCATTAGCACTATGATCCTCAACAAACATGCTATTGAAAACGAAATTCGCAAAGCGGGATTTGAAAGCTGGACAATTTTGCGCCCGGGTAACTTCATGAACAACTACTTATTCCCGAAGACAATGATGTATCCGGACTTCACGAAGACCGGAGTATTCACCACTGCTTTCGCTCCGGATACCTTGTTGCCCATGGTTGATCCCAACGACATCGGCCAGTTTGCAGCAGCAGCAGTCTTCGACCCCATCAAGTTCAACCACCAAGAAATTGAGATCGCTTCGGAATTTTTGGGAGTCGACGCCATCATCCAGTCTTTATCCCGTGCCACTGGAAGGGAGATGAGCATTGTCTATATGTCAGATGAGGAAATCAGCGAACAAAAGGCTACCAATCCCTTCATTGCTGGTCAACTCATGGCCCGTGATCTAAGGTCATTTGTGAATTTGGACGAAGTCAAGGCGTGGAATATTCCACTGGGAACCTTCGAGAAATTCTTGCAGCGAGAGAAATCCAATGTTGATGCAACATATCTTTGAATTACAATGCCCAAGAGTACAAGCGGGTGGAGGAATGAACAGGATCATTGTTGGGCGGCTCAAGGGCACTGCAGGGCATTCCAATTTTTCAGTTAGGGGAAATACATGATGTTCTAATGTTCCATGAATTTGTTAATTTTTAGCAATCAATGTAGTAGTAGTTGTTGTTGTCTGGAATTGAACAGTTGTTGACATTCAAGCTCAGATGCTTAGTGATACCACGCGTTTTGGGACAAAAATTCCAAAACAATTTAGACAAGGGATTAGTCCAAGTCAATTTGGCCTTAGATAGCCGTAAAGGAGACATAATATGGATTGAAGGGGTTCTAGATAGTCGACATTTAAGAGTGGAGGGGTTTAAAATGCAATTTGATATGCTTTGACACGATCGCGTCACGTCGCGACACGAAAAAATAAGAATCCAACTTCCCCGATTCATCTCTCCCCTTTAGTCTTACGCCTACCAGACCTCCACCAATGCATCCATAGCCTTTTTTTTTTTTCCTTTCTGTTTTCTTTTGTTAAACAATGGACATCTCTAATTTCCCGGAGGCACCCCGGTCAGAGCCTGTTCTTCCTCCCCCAGAGCCACCTTCATCCCCGCCGTCTATTGCTTCCGATACTCGCAGAACCAGAAAACCACCAACTGTAACGCCCCGGTCATTCCGTCGATTCTTTACCCCGCGTTCTTTATTGCCGACTGGTGATACTTCTATCACGCCCTCGACTAGCCGCCAGGCCTTACGGGCACTCTCATCGCCCGCGGTGAATCGTCTGGGGCCAGCATTTTCGAGAACCTCCAAGGCTGGCAGCACCAGAAGTCCTCACGATGGCTTACCGGAAGACTTTATTCGCACCCCGAGCAGGAAAAGAAAAAACTCATTCTCCTCAGTCGTCTCCCCACAATCCTCGCCTCTGAAGAGAGTTCGTGTCCGGTCTCCAATACACGATGTGGAACAAGATATTAAAATTCCAAATATCGACATCCGTCCTCATGCATTAGCACCCCCGAGTCCACCCAAGCGAAATCCCCCCGTGGCCCCTGTGCGCCGCTCCCAGGCATTGCAATCATCTGGTGCTTTGTTTATGCGAACTATGATGGGGAGTCGGGCTAATAAAGTAACCCTACGATCTAACTCTGGCGCTGGTTGGTATTCACCCCCATGGCGTACTTTCGCACCTCTAATTTCCTATCCAGGCTGGCAAGATCTTACTTCCGACTTCTATTCGCAATCGCAGGACCGTCATATGTGTAGTAGTTACGCATCGGAGGGCTCAGTGGCCCTCCCATTCTGTAATGCTTCATGCAACAGTAAGTCGTTTTTCACCTAACTACTCCCCATACATGCTAACAAATGGGAAGCAAATTCTCTTGTTGCAGTCGGCGATGAAGAGGGTGGAATTCGCCTCTTGGATTCATCGATGGATGATAATGCTGGGTTCTCTGGCGCATACCTTGGTTTCCGTCCACACATGAATTCGATCATGGACCTCGAGTTCTCATCAGATGACATGCTACTGGCTACGGCATCTGGCGACCAAACGTCTCTTATTATTGATATGACAACACAACGACCCATCCACTGCTTATCGAATCACTCATCCTCCGTTAAGCGTATCCAATTCCAACCGGCATCAAACAATAAGGTTCTTGCTACGTGCAGTAGGGATGGTAATGTCAATATTTGGGATCTCCGCTGTAAAGGATTTGAACGGCCTGCGTTGCAAGTTCAATGCTCCCTAGAATCCGAATCCGAAAACGCCGCGACCACTGCACCTCCAAAGATGTTATACCCGCACGTTCTGAATACCATTGAAGGTGCCCATGCATACACAACCTCTCATAAAACGGCCATGGATAAAAATGATGCGCCACCAATTGGCCGGACCGATATCACCGTTACTTCTCTCGCTTTTCTTTCGCCTGGCCGCGAAAATCTTTTTGTTACGGCTTCCGAGGCTAGCGCAAGTGTCAGACTTTGGGACTTGCGAACAGCACATAACAATCGGCGTGGTCGACCCGTTATCCCTCTATCTACCACACAAGAGCCGGAAAGCCATGTGAAGTATCGACGCTTTGGCCTGACTTCCATGGCGTTTGGAGGAGATGGCTCACGATTGTACACACTTTGCCGAGACAACACCGTTTACACCTACTCGACATCGCACTTAATTCTCGGGCATGCGCCTGAACTTTCACTCAATAACAACCGTCCACGGAGGACTGGAGGCTCTGACAAGGACGGTCTTGGGCCTCTCTATGGTTTCCGCCACCCTCGCCTCCAAATTTCCTCATTCTATGTGAAGTTAGCTGTGCGCAAAGCAAACCACGATCATCCGGAGATGCTGGCTACTGGGAGTAGCGACCACTGCCCCATTCTTTTCCCTACCGATGAACGGTACCTCAATTCTCCCGTGAAAACACCGGCCGAATCTTTGCCTAGTAGGACTTCTCTGTTCACTACCCGCTCAGGACTTCGTCGCACCAACTCTGGAATCGGCTTGTCCGGCCGTCTCGAAGATACCATCCCAATCCACCAATCAGGCACTCCTCTTATCGAAGGTCATCAGAAAGAGGTCACTGGTCTGTCTTGGACCCCATCTGGCGAACTAATTACTGTGAGCGATGACTACTCTGCACGGTGCTGGCGTGAGGGACCCGAGGCTCGCGAGCTTCGAAGCGGCGGTGAAACTGAGGGTAAACGCTGGATGTGTGGCTGGGCTGATATGAAAGACTCAATTGACGACGAAGACGAATGATTTCCCGGCGTCGTCTGTGATTTTTATTGTTTTTGCATTTTCCGAGGTGCCTGGATGTTTCTATTCTTTTTTTGCCTGTGGGCATTTTACTGGCGTTTGGGAGAGCATATTAATTAGCGTAGCATACCCTGTATTTCGGGCTTATTTGTATTATCTGACTGAATCAAACATGTCCCTCATTCATCGATTCCAATTATTGTAATACATCTTCTCGAATAAACTAATAATGTCAAAAGGCAATATGAAGTAGAAATGTAAGTAGAGACGTCCGGGGTTGTGCTGAGGTCGCCCATATAGAGCGATAAGATAAGGCCAACCTCGATGAAAAAAGTTCCGCCAACAACTCCAACCCTCCAATCTTCGACTGCAAAACCACCCAAAATGCCTCACAAACACAAGAGACGCGGCGAAGCCGATAAAGAGTGAGCACTAGAAATATACCAGGCTTTTTCAAAGCCCAAAACTAACGATTCCCCTCGCGCCAGGGACTTCAACCTCGCACCCTCAGAGATCGCAAAAGCACTTCCAGTCCGCGATCTAGTCAAGCCCAAGTTAGGCAAGAACGGCAAAAAGCTCAAGAACCAATCCAAAGACCAAAACCAGAGCGCCAACAAAGCACCCACCCACCGCCTCAAGAATGTCACCGAAGACGACACCCCGAAAGCATTCCGCCGCCTAATGCAATACCAGCAGACAGGTCGACGGGCGCCATCAGGACTAGAGACAGGCGAGCGTCCGAACAAGCGCAAGCGCAATGCCACAGAAGACGCAAGCACGTCATCAAAGAAGCCCGCGAAGGCAGCGGAAACGCAAAAGCCCAAACCCTCCGCCAAGGAGAAGGCCGAAATGCCGAAGATCATGCCTGGCGAGCGGCTGGCTGAGTTCGTAGCGCGTGTTGACCGCGAAATGCCATTATCGCAGATGACCAAGTCGGTCAAGAGTGGTGACGCCAAGGACAAGGAGCAGCGCAAGCGGACGAAACATGAGAAGCATCTGCTGCGACTGCAGAAGGGGTGGCGTGAGGAGGATGCTAAGATCAAGGAGAGGGAGCAGGAGGAGCGGGAAGAGCGCGAGGATGATATGGAGGTTGAGTTGCGGCAGTGGAAGGAGTGGGAGATTGAGGCTGCTGGAGGAAAGAAGAAGGCTGCTGTGAAGAAGAACAAGAAGAAGGGGGCGAATGCCAATGGGGATGCTGATAGCGGGGACGATGATCCTGATCCTTGGGCCAAGCTGAAGAAGCGTGACGAGGAACGGAAGAGGAATCCATTTGAGGTTGCCAAGGCGCCGCCTCAGTTGGTTAAACCCAGAGAGATCTTCAAGGTGCGTGGTGGGGCCAAGGTTGATGTTGCCAATGTGCCTGCTGCGGTTGGCAGTTTGAGACGCCGTGAGGAGTTGGCTGGTGAGCGGAAGAATATTGTTGAGGAATACCGGAAGTTGATGGCCGCCAAGCGGCAGTGATGGATATAGATATAGTAGAATGATTGATTGTTTAGGGCTACGGGTTTCATGTATCTACTTTGAGAGAAATTGGTTCATATGCAGTTGCAGCAGAAATGACAATTTACTACTGCTGATCATCTATGTCACATCATATTACTGCCTTTTTTTTTGGGATTGGGGTAGTCAAAACGAGCTTAGGCTTAGTGACCGTGGCCGTCATCCTGCGGCTGCTCGGGGTCCAGCTTGATGATCGTGTCAATGCGCATGATGGATATGCAAGCCTCCACGGCACTCTTCAGCTGCTTGACCTTGCTCATGCTGGGCTCCAGCACACCGGCCTTCAGAGTGTCATGAACCCGTCCCTTTGTCAGATCCAAACCGTAGTTGCGGTAAGTCTTCTTCTTGGCGATGGCCTTCTCCTCCTCGTTAGCGTCACCCTCCTGCACACGCTGTGACAGGGCGTGACGGACACGGAGCTGAGCAACGAGCTCAGATGAATCCTTAGCTGCGTTGACTGCCAGAGTCGTGGGAATGACAAGAAGAGACTGTGCGAACTCGCCAATAGCCAGTTGCTCACGGGAACCCTGCAATTCAAATGTTAGACACCGATATAGAAAGGAAAAGCGAACGATACTACTTACAACTGTGACTGCGAACTCCTCGAGGTAGATGTGAAGTGCGGTTTCCACGGCTCCACCGCCGGGAACAATGCTTCCGCTCTCCAAAGTGCGCTTGATGGCACAGAGAGAGTCGTGAACAGAGCGCTCCATCTCGTCCAAGCTGTACTCGTTGGCACCACGAAGGATAATGGAAGCCGCAGTGTGAATCTTGGTGCCCCTGATCAGGATACACTCGTCATCCGAGATACGCTCTTGCGAAACAGACTCGGCGTGTCCAAGGTTTGATGCCTCGAACTTCTCATCTCCGTTGAGGTCAGAGAGGGTGCTGACCATAGTGGCACCAGTGGCCCTAGCAATGCGGCGCAGGTCCTCCTTCTTACAACGACGGACTGCCATGGCTCCCTTCTCAACGAAGAGCTTGAGAACCATATCGTCGATGCCCTTAGTCGTGAGGACGACGTTGGCACCAGACTTCAGGATCATATCAACACGCTCCATAACAATGCCGGACTCCCGCTGACGGATCTTCTCCAATTGATCGGGGTCTTCCACTGTAATCTGAACGCCAAGCTTCATCCGCTCCTTCTGTAGGTTCATGTCGAGAATGGCAATCTTAGCGTCGGCCACATGGGTTGTCATAGCCTGGGAAGCAACAGTGCAGTTCAACGCGTAGCCATCCACGAGTACGGACTCGTTACCACTCTTTCCGTGGGCCTTGAGCAGGTTCACGGCCTTGACTGGGTATTTGACCTCGCCTCTCTGGTTCACTGACTTCACCTGCAGCATTGCGTCCACACACATGTTTGCAAAGAAATCGGAGTCGGAACCGATGATCTTGCTGGACATAGAAGTCTTCGCAATGTTGACCAAGCTGTCCTTTCCAATATTATCCACCTTAGTTGTAACATTTTCATTCATATACTTGACGGCTTCGCGCAGGGCAAGTCGGTATCCGCTGATGATTGTGGTAGGGTGTATACGGTTCTTCATCAACTCGTTGCCTCTCCGGAGAAGCTCAGCGGCAAACAGAACAACCGAGGTAGTACCATCTCCGACCTATTTGAGATTGATATTATCAGCATGTGTATCTGAGATACGTGTGATGTAGAGGCCCGTACCTCCTTGTCCTGTTGTTGGGCCAGATCAACGAGGATCTTGCCCGCAGGATGCTCAATATCAAGAAGAGACAGGATAGTAGCGCCATCGTTCGTCACAGTCACATCCTGTCAGATGTTAGAAGCTGCAGCCAAGCTCTGCGGGGTTTATCGTTTCCATACCCCTATGTCGTCCACCATCATCTTGTCCAAACCGGACGGACCGAAGGAAGATTTGATGACATTGGCGATCGCCTGTGTTGCCAGAACTGCAAGTAATCAGCTACCGATTCCTAAGAAAGGCAAAATCATCAATAATTCAACATACCATTCTGCTCACGGACATCAGCACCGGTGATTTTCTGCCCACCCAAGACTGTGCGAGACTGGTCAGTTTATTGCAACCGAAACGATGATCGATTAGATGAAAACCCACAGAGTGTGTCCGCATTCCGCGGCGCCTCAAAAATGCCTGCCATATTTAAAACAGACGATGTAGTATGAGCTATTCGAGTGCGATGGCAGAGCTGTCTGGCTTCGGGGGGGTGCTGTGGGCACTAAAAGTTCTGCCGGGGCGGTGTACTAGTAATTTTCGATGTCGCATCCCACTTTACGGAGGGGAGTCATACCCCGATTTCGCTTGCTTCCAATCCTATTTCCCACTCGGGTTTCCCTTTCATTGTCTAGTCATACACTCGCTTCTTCAACATGGCTAGCCAGAACCCCAGCGACAACCCCGCCTGTGAGGGCGCTGCCCCCCAGACCCTGCCTGACCGCACTCAAACCCCCGCCGATGGCGAGGCGGGTGAGTCAAAGAACGCCGCCAAAAAAGCCGCGAAGCTCGCCAAAATGAAGGCCGATAAGGCTGATAAGAAGGCCTCGAACAAGGGAGAGAAGGGCATTGGCAAGCAAGAGGCCAAGAAGGCTTCTAAGAAGAAGGTTGATGGTGCCGCTTTAATTGGTATTGATGTCTTGAAGGAGGAGGACTTCTCCGGCTGGTATCAGCAGGTTCTCACCAAGGGTGATTTGCTGGACTACTACGATGTCTCTGGTTGTTTCATTCTCAAGCCTGCGTTGTTCTTCATCTGGGAGGAGATCCAGGAGTACTTCAACAAGGCCATCAAGGGAATGGGTGTCAAGAACTGCTCCTTCCCTCTGTTCGTGTCTGAGGATGTCCTGCAGCGGGAGAAGGACCACATCGAGGGCTTTGCCGCTGAAGTCGCCTGGGTCACGCATGCGTACGCCGTCCCCCAGCCCTACAACACCTTCTTATACCTCCGCTGAACAGCACTAATATATACTTCTAGTGGCTCAACCCCCTCGAGAAGAAGATTGCCATTCGCCCTACCTCGGAGACTGTCATGTACCCCTACTATGCCAAGTGGATTCGCAGTCACCGTGACCTCCCTCTTCGTCTCAACCAGTGGAACTCAGTCGGTGCGGCCTCCGTTCTTTCTCCATGCCGATGAAATGTTACTAACATCAACAGTGAGATGGGAATTCAAGCACCCTCAACCACTACTCCGCTCGCGAGAGTTCCTCTGGCAAGAGTATGTTTCCAACCCTCTTTTCTGTTTGAAATAGCATACTAACATTGTGCAGAGGTCACACCGCTCACCTGACTGAAGGTGCTGCCCGCGATGAAGTTCTGAGCATCCTTGACTACTATGCCAAGATTTACCAGGAGCTCCTTGCCGTGCCCGTCGTTAAGGGTCAGAAGACCGAGAAAGAGAAGTTCGCTGGCGGTAACTACACTACCACTGTTGAAGGCTACATCCCCGCCACTGGCCGTGGTATCCAGGGTGGTACATCCCACGGACTCGGCCAGAACTTTAGTAAGATGTTCGGCATCACCGTTGAGGACCCAACCGCTACTGTCGATGATAAGAAGCCCCCTCTGCACGTCTGGCAGAACTCCTGGGGTCTGTCCACCCGTTCACTGGGTGTTATGGTCATGATCCACAGTGACAACAAGGGTCTGGTCCTGCCTCCTCGTGTGGCTGAGATCCAGGTCATCATCGTCCCTGTCGGTCTCACAGCCAAGACTACTGAGGAGGAGCGCGAGAAGCTCAATGCCGAGGTCGACGGTCTCGTCGCCGTCCTCGTTGCTGCCGGCGTCCGTGCCGACAGCGATAAGAGCAGCTACTCCCCTGGCTGGAAGTTCAACCAGTACGAGCTCCGCGGTGTACCTCTGCGCATTGAGTTTGGTCCCGGCGAGTCCGCCGGTCACTTTGTTACCACCGCCCGCCGTGATATCCCCGGCAAGGATGGCAAGGGCAGCATCCCCATCGCCGAGCTGGCTACTGGCGTTCCAGCTCTCCTTGAGACCATCCAGTCTGACCTGTACAACCGCGCCGACGAGCAGTTCAAGGCTCACCGCATCAAGATCACCAAGTGGGATGACTTTGTTCCTGCTCTGAACAACAAGAACATCTGTGTCATTCCCCACTGCTTGGCTGAGGATTGCGAGGACCAAATTAAGGACATGAGTGCCCGCAAGGCCGAGGAAGACTCCGGCGAGGCTGAGGATGCTAAGGCCCCCAGCATGGGTGCTAAGTCGCTCTGCATTCCTTTCGAGCAACCCGAGGGTCTTGAGCAAGGTGTCACTCCCTGCTGCAACCCCAAGTGCCAGCGTCTTGCTGAGAAGTGGTGCATGTTTGGCCGTAAGTTTCTAATCCCTGTTTTTTCTCCCCCCCACATGGTCTATGGCAAAACACTAACTATCTCAATATAGGCTCTTATTAAGATATTGCATTGCATCCGTGAAACAAACTTGAAGTATGAAACCGGCATTTTCTTCTGTGGGTCCCAAGGCGTCCCTTCAATATGTTGATTTGTCAATGTGGAGTTTTAAGGGGAGGGAAATGGCAGGTAGTGGCAATGATATTATGAAAATGAGACATGTCATTATTGCTTTTCTAAGATTTCATTATATGTTTTTTTATATACACTACCCCGTAAACTAGCACGAAGCTAATAATAAATAACACATAAATAGCACAAGATATCGCCCCTATGTTGTAGAGGATACGCCCCGATATCTGAGGGCAAAACGCGGAGCCTCTTAACCTAATAAGCAAGAGAAAACTATACAAAAAGAATAATGTACAACATAGTGAATATGATATGAATTGATCAAGGACTGTATAGAACTAGCGAGTAAGCTGAAATAGGCAACCACATACAGAGGACAAATTTCATAAGGGAAGAGACAATTTTTTGCAGAGCGAATAACAGGATATTGATACATAAATACAGGACAGAACAATCGCTACGAAGCTTTAATAATGACAAGAACTCCGGCCAAATCATGCAACCACAATATAAGAGAAGGAAATAATTGGAGGCTGGCAGGGTCTGAGATAAGACGAGAAAAGAAGAAAGGGTGAGAGATAGACTAGGGTTAATATAGACGGGATATATGGATACAAGCTGTATGAGTGTGACAAGAGAGAGAGATTGACCAGCGCCATATCAGAGGATGATTCGACAGAACCAAGAGAAAAAGAAATGATTAAAAATGATTGGACGGGCTTTTCGGAGAAAGCAAGAAGGTGTGATGAGGAAGGGAGAAAAGTCATGAGAGCATCATTATCATGCGGCAAAGTAGCGAACATCCCCGCCTGGGTTGGTTGGTAAAATCGTCCCAAAAGAACATTGATACCATCCTAGTAAGTCTCAACTGAGCGCGAACCACGCAGCTGCATGCGAGCACGAGACAACGGCGACAAACTATTCCCGTAAGGGTTGGAGGAAGCACCACGACGAACCTGCTGAGGCCAGTACATGAGTTTCTGTGCCTCGTCAGGCGAGGCAGCATCGATGACATAGCGGATGTTATTCTCGTCGACGCCTTCGATCTGCACGCGCGGCGGTGGATTCGGGCTAGGGAGGTGAATGATATCATCGTCGCTGTCTTCTTGCGAGGAATCAGTCGAAGGAGCCGAGTGAGCCTGCATGCAGTAGACTGTGCCGGGGGCCAAAGGCGGCAGCACATCAGGGCCCGAGCAGGCCATGGTGGCGAGGTTTCCTGTAGATTCCGAGCGTGCTCGTTTGCGAGATACGGAAGGGCTTGCATAGGGGCCGGTTGAGATGGGTCGTTGTTCACTGCTTGCGTGCAGTACGTCCAGGTACGTGATTGGCTCTCCGGATCCGGGGCGGGTGATTATGGGCTCTTCGTGAGGTTGGAATTCGGCCAGGAAGCCTGGGGTTGGGGCTGGGGCGTCGGTGTGTCGACGGCGAGCGGGGGAGCTGGAGACTTTCCGTAGGAGGCGGTCGTAGCCGACGCTGGTTGAGATGCTACGACGGGTTTCTGGGTTGCTCTTGTGCTTGGATGAACTCTTGTTCATGAGTCGGCTTTTCGCTGAGGGGCTTCGGTGGAGTGCGCTTGCTGATCTGTAGTCGTTGCTGAACTCGTCTTGGTCTGCGGCGGGTGTGAATGGAGGCCCTGGGGCAGGCACGGGGACGCGACGGAATGCCTCATGGGAATTGACCTCGCGGACTATGGCGTCCTGCAACGTCTCGCAAGTTGGGTGCGAGCCTTGGAGAGAATTGTAAGCCTTGCTGAAAAAGTCCATCATGTCGGAGGCTTTGAAGCGTGATGATTTGGGAGGACTGATTGGGGTGGAGACTGGGAGAGGACTGTTCATCACTTCTGCGATGTTGGGAGCCCGCTTCAATTCGCCGGTTGATGGTGTAGGTGGCTGAATGGCACGGTGTGCAATTTTGGGGCGTCCTTTGGCAGCTAACTGCGTATTGATCGAGAGACCCCGCGCATTCTTTTTGGAGCCTGGCTCTGATAGCTGTGGCGGAGGGAGTGATCTTTGTGTGCTGCGAGCTATTGTAGCAGGTGGCCGTGGCACCGAAGGAGCCTCGGCGCCATCACTATCGCCCATGGGGATAGGGATTGTAGGGCTATCAGGCAGAGGAGTGTTGCTCCACCTTCTTCCTTGTTTATATGCAGGAGGAACACCCAAGCGCTGGACAGGAGTTGGGGGTGCATCTTCTTGTGGGACAAAGTCTTCGTCCGCTGACAGACTCGGCGCAGATCGCTGGGGTCGGAGGGACTGTGATCGTGGAGACGAAGTGCCCGAGCCATCATCTGGGGAGAGCTTTGTCCGTAGATTATCTGCTGACGCCCAGGTAGGCTTCCCTGGATCCCGCTTCCTGGCTTTGCGCCGTTGGCTTTCTGGAATCCGTACTCTACCAGGCGCAGCTGGAGATGACCGAGAACTTAAATGAGACAAAGAGCGGCCAGGGCTGCTATATTTCGCAATATTTCTGTCGGCCACATCCTCTTGGTATAAAGCCGAAAGTATACCCGAGCTAGCAAGTCCATTCCGGTATTGGATCCGTAGAAAGCGGGTCATATTTCGTTCTGCGACATCTTCGTTGTATAGGCTGGCAGGAGGAGAAAGTGGTTCTGGGGCAGTTGTTTGAGTGTGCTCCGTAGAGAACAGAGCATCCATCAAGTCGATATGTCGACCATTTTTAGGTTTGGGGGCGCGAAATGAGGGCTTGGAGGTAATTGGGATTGGGAAGATGTTGGCCGTTCCAGTTGATCATGTAGATCTTCGAATTGCTTCTCGATCTGATCAAAATGATGAGCCACATCTAATGAGTGTGAATCTCTAGATGGGAAACCACCCTCAAAGTGACTTCGTGTAGGCGAGTCAACCGCCGTGTGAAAATAGGGTTGGTATGTACCACAGCCCTCGAGTCCAAGACTGGTTGCCGGACGAGAAAAGGCCTTGTCCGTCTGAAATAGTTTCTTTAATGCAACCATTTTGAAAATTTGGAAGTAGATATCAAGCGCAAAGCCGGTGCGCAATTGGAAAATGAAGGACAATAGTAGTGTAAGACGAGGATAAAGAATCAAATAGAATGTCCAAGCTAATGATCAAACGACGAGACCAGCGGGTCATAAAAGAATTGAACAAATTGATGTCATGACATCCAAAGCTCGAGGAATTGAGGACCGTCACACACGGTTCAGGTGTCACATATCATAGTGAAAGGAAAAGAAAGAAGGAACAAAAAAATCAAGATTCGCAAAGGCCCCAAAAAGGTAGAGAATAGGGCTTCCAGTATCTGTCAAAGTAGCAGTGCAGATCTATCACCGGTCTTGTGTCTTGGTCAGGGGGGAATAGCCCGGTCTTCTCCATGATATCCCTAAGATGACAGTTCCAACGCTAAAAGTTTTAAAGAATATACTTTTGTTGTCTTTTCTTTGTTTAAAAATATTTAAAAAATATATTTACGCTTTCGCTAATCTGCTCGGCAATTGCACCTTCGAATCTTTTCTCTCTCTCTTGTTCAAGTCCATTGAAGAAGATTTCTTTTTGCCCAACACTTCGTGCCTTACAAGGACGATTATGCAACAAGTGGACATGGTCTGCTTCTTGGAAAACGTTCAGACTGCATTATAGGCTGAGAGCTTAAGAGCTGCCCCATCCGAGACTGTGATCCACACGTGAAGGTTTTTTGCTTTCTTTTTTTTTGACAGGAGCCCATATTGGACGATGGGCGAGAATTCGTTTCTGGTGATTTCCCAAAAACATCCACCAGGACTCATGCGCCAATCGGCGATGTGTCGAGGGGTTCCAAGGTCTAATTATGTCGAACAAGAGAGAGTGACAGTGGATTCGATGGAGCTTCTAATTTCCGCACGAGCCGGTCATTGGTGCAACGAGGTTGATCGCCGGACTGAGAGCCGTCTACTTAGCGGGAACACACGAACCGCACATCAATTTCGGCCTCTGATTATTCAAAAAGAACTAAAGTCGCAGCCCGAACGGTATATAGCTGCCTATTTAGAAGACAAAGAAAATAAGTCAAAAGAAAAAAGCAGCTAAGAGCGGATCTCGGATTCGCTTCCGCAGTACTGGAGTACGTACTATGGAATACGTACAACATAATAGTACATAGTACGGAGTACAACATACGGAGTAGTTTGTTCGATCTCAGGGGTAAATTGCACATGAACATACTCCGTACAAGTCGATCTTTCATCTTCAACCTTGGAACCCCCCTTGGTGGAGTTCAGAATTCCTTCGAGTTCTGTTTTATAGTGAGAATCTATATAATATACTCCGTATGTTGTACTCCGTACCTTGTGCGACATATTATATGATGTACCCATATGTTTCTGTACCACGAACTCCTTAGATCCGATATCCCACGATCGATCGTTTCCGATACTTATTTTCTCGATTTCGATGGGTCTTGCACTACTCCGTAGATCGGCATGACTTGATATTAGGGGAAAGCCGAGCGTTTAACTGTCTAACGTTCAACTTTATCTACCCCTTTTTTGGGACTTTGACCGGTTTATCTTTTTTTTTTTTTTTTTTGGTTCGGAGAATAAATATGCATTCTCTTATTTAATTTAACTTATATTTTATAGTTATTGTCTGTAAGCCTACTACAAAACTGCTATAATGATGTCTTGCCCAGTGGGCGTTGGGGCAGTGATATATATCGTGTGACTGGGTGGGTATAAAAGCTGCTCTGGCTAAAGTTCAACATTTAGATATGTACGGCGTATATACGGAGTAAAATGCCTTATAATACGAAAAGCAGTCTACACATACTAGTTTTGCCTGGCAACATTAAGCTTCTTCCACTAGTTGGCGTCCATATGAGAGCGACGAAGCAATTCAGACAAGCACATTACTAGATAAAGTTAACTAACTAGTTAGTATTCGGATCCGAGTGTATACCATCGGTTCTTTGCTGGTATAGCACCCCCTTTTGTATGTAATGCTAGTCAGATTACATTGAGAGGTGTATATGTCGGTGGAACACATTGCCAGGGATATTAGATTGAAAAGCCATCCTCCGTATATGGACTTGGCCTTCTACGCAGCATGGAGCAAAGGGGTCTGATTGTCAAATTCTGACTCCACCTTCCGCATAGCCCGGTACTAGTCTAGAGGGTTCACGTCCGGCAAGAGCCCCATCAAGAAGATGGGGGTCCCTTACAACACTAGACAAGCCACAAGAAGATACAAATATAGGAAACAGGGGTGGGGCATATGAGGGGGCTATGGGCAAGGCAGACAGCTGGGTACACCCGTAGCGAAATGCTGCGTCTTCTTGCTTTTTTAGGACATCATGTAGTCCTGTGACACAGCTTCAAATTGATCGTTAAACAAGAACACCGATAAAATTAGCCTATTGCTACATCAATGATAGGAGCCTGTAAACTTCATTCATTCGTAATGTGATGTGACTATCTTTAGACTTCAGCAAAAGACTTAGTGATAGATTCCCTCACAGCCTCGGCCAAGACAGTATTAGCGCCACGAGCCGCATCGACAGCTCCGTCGATCAAAGCTTCATGACCCGTACGCCCATCGTCCTTTTCAAGAGCCGCCCTTGAGCTATCACCCTTGAGCCAGAGCTCAGTAATCTCATCACGCGCAGGCATGTATGCCACCACACAAGCTGACAGAATCGATCGATGTTCTGCTGGATCAATGTCAAGCATGAGTCGCGGAGTAGATGATGCTGACTGATTCGAGTCATCCGAGACCAGAGCAGCAACACCACCAGACACAAGATCAAGACAATCAATGTGGGCATCCGCAATGGCTGCAGAAGCTGCGGTGATACAACCGGCGAGAACGTTCATCATCCCCCATGACGCATCATGCGAGTCGGGGGCATCGCCCCACCAACGGTCATCCTCTGCTTCAATGATTGTAAGAGTGATATCCAGACCACTTTTGGGCCAGCGTTCGGCAATGATTGCGCCACGGAGGGCGGTCTCTAGATGTACACCAAGGTCACGCTCGCTGGCATCACGTATATGTCCTTTCCGCTTGCGGGCGGCGAATGGCGCGTACTTGACATGAGTGGTGAGAACAAGGTTCGGCGAGAATGCAGCAGAGCGGGGGAGTGGCTTTGGTCCGTGGACAGTGCAGGCCAGCTTTAGTGCTGAGGAGGGCGGGATCAGAGATTTGGGGTTGGAGCGGGCAGCGGCGAGGGAAGCAGATGGTTCAAATTCAAGGTATGAAGAGCCTGAGGCAGTTGGGATCAATCCTGTTTTGAGGACTAGAGGATTGATGGTTAGCTGCGATCAATAAGAAGCTTGTCGGCGATTCATACAGATTTTCCGTAATTCGGCGGGTTGGCGCTGGCGCTGGGCGCGGTTTGCGATGCCTGTCGAGGATTCTTGGAGGGATGCAAATACTGGAGGCCTTGTACCACCAGGTGGCCCATTAATACGTCTTCTATCAGCCATTTTAGGTGATTTGGCGCAATACTGAAGCTGTCGAGAGATCGCAATGGCTGCAAGTCCCAGAAACGGAAATCTTGGGAGTTTGTACTGTTTGTAGGCCCCACCGCCTAGCGCCGTTTTGCTTTTTGGCGACTTTTCTTCGATTTTTTGCTCTTCCTTTTCCTTTCTCTTCTTCACACACTCTCTCCATTCAACAGAGAAAACTCCATCTAATGTCGATGGAATTGACTCTACTTGATAGTTGATGTATCCATTACACTCTATCTATCACTAATATGCTATACGTGAGTATCCTTTAACCCCTCCAACCCTGTCTACATGATCGAGAGAGTTCCAACTCCTGTTTGGCGACAAAAAATGGGCCATGAACAAACATGCATCACCATCTGATAAAATGACAACAACTTCACCATTGTTTTGCAATATTCCACTGCTATGTACCAGGGACTAACAATTGCTTAAAGACAGGAATAAACCCTCACTTGTTTTCAAGTACATTGGGAAGTCTCAGGAAAATTTCAACTAATAAGGTAAGACAGCCTTTCCTATTTCCTTTCCCACCTGCACTCATTGTGATGAGAAAACATTTTCAGTTCTGCTTCTGCAAAAATTTTGAAGATAACAAAATACCTTACCAAAAACTCCTGATCCTTCTTGAGTCATTATCATTGTCTTTCAACCATCCTGTCAGTGACAAGAATGCTGACAAGTCAAAAAGATCTAGCTGTAATCCATATCATTGATGGCTCTACCTCTTCATTTATTCAAAAGGTACATCATTGTCTTTCTTCCACTGCTCGTCTCCCCCAGTTATAATGATGACAACCAGTCTATCCATTCAACGACCTCTTGGAGGACCGCCCCTCAGGTTGCACCCAAGCCGTACAGCATTGTGAGGAATACAGGCTTCGATCCATTGTCTTCCATCTCCCTTATACTGGACCTTTTGTGCCTTCGGGTGTGAACGGGAGGAAGGTTGTGGAGCCTGGAGGCTTTGGGTCCATCGTCGTCTGATTACGTTCTTTGCAATGCTGTCTTGTCCGCGGCATGGTACTGCTATACTTGGCTTGTGTTGGTTTCCTAATGCTGGGCTGCTTATCCGTCTTGGGTGACAGTTCGGTGCGAGGGGCCAACAGGGGATGGGATGAGTTAACCGGCTTGACTGAATACTATATATGCTTCCACTTTTGCTTGCAATTGTGAAGCTATTCGTGCTTGTTTTGC